CCGTGGGACACCCACCCCAGCAGCTCCAGTGACCGTGGGACACCCACCCAGCCCCCAGAGAACACCCAGAGCCCCCCCCTTGGTACTCCAAAATTCCCAGTTTCCCCCAGGATAACGGCCTGGGAGCAGCTGGTTTGCAAGGAATGGAGGGAGGAGGAGGAGGAGGAGAAATCGGCTCCAGGCTCAGCACCCACTCACTCAGCAGCTCCCTAAAAGCAGCACCGAGCAGCCCAAAATTCCCAGCTCCCCAAGGACAGCTGGGAAAACCACCTAAAATCAGCTCTGATCCTCCAGCTTCCAAAGGAAATCCCAGAAGGATCTGGGTGCTGGAGAAAGGAGGCAAAGGATGAACGTGGCAAACACCCCAAAAATCAGCTCCCAAATCCTGCAGCTCCCAAAGGAAATCCCAGCAGGGTCTGGATGCTGGCACAGGGAGCCAAAGGAGGATGAGGAGAACACCCTAAAAGCCAAGTCCAACCCTGCAGCACCCACAAGAACCCCTGGCTGGGTTTGGGTGCCGGCACGAGGAGCCCAAGGGGGCTGCGAGAAGCCACAGGACGATGTGGAAACCCCTCCACCCATCAGAAAACCATCTCCCATCCCGCCTCTCCCCGAGGGAAGGCCGGCAGGGAGCCAGGGCAGTGCCAGGCAGGACCTGTCGAAGGGCAGGGGGCTGCCCAGCAGGCTGGAGACCACCAGGCTGGAGTGCTGGGCCGCCAGGATGAACACAGTCTGCTGCGCCGCCTTCCGCACGTGCTCCTCGCCCACCTCCTCCAGCTTCCCGTGGAGGATGCTCAGGATGTCGGGGATCTGGGGGGGCACAGACACAGGGGGGGGTCCAGGGCAGGGGTGGGACGAGCCTGGAATGTGTGGTCACCACGCAGGACACCAGTGGGATGGACCCCCCACCCCCACCACCCCTGGGAGAGCGGGAGGTGTCCCCTCCCTGCCCACGGGGGGTGGGATTGAAGGTCCTTTCCAACCCAAACCGGTCTGGGATTCTGTGATCCTTCCCCATCCTTGCCACCCAGGAGGCTCCAGGGGGGATTCCCCAGAAAAAAAAAAAAAAAAAAAAAAGAAAAAAGGGGGGGACCCAGCAAGGACATCCTGGAATGATGAGGCTGGAAAATCCATCAGAGCCCACCGAGTCTGACCATTCCCACAGCACTGCCCGTGTCCCCAAGTGCCACGTCCCCAGGGATGGCCAATAATCCCCCAGGAATGGGGATCCAGGGCTGGGCAGCCCCTTCCCAGCAGGGAATTTCCCAAATATCCCCCCTAAAGCTCGAGCTGGGAGCAGCAAGGGAGCCGGAGCTGAGCCTCGAGGAGCCCCCTCAGCGCTCCCTCCCAGCTGCAAAAAAAGGCACGTTAAGACCAGGAGGAAGTTCAGGGGCTGGCAGTGAATTCCTGGGATTAGGAATGGGATCTGCAGAGCCCAGCTGAGCTCAGATCAGCCCCAGGGGCTGCCAGGCTTAGCAACAGGTCGGGTTTCAGGATCTGGGCTGGGCTGGGGCTGACCCAGTGAGGATCCTGGCACCGAGGGAGCTCCAGAGCCCACAAATCCCAGGGAAGAGTGGGAGGGAGAGGCCAGTGGTGTTTCCAATTACTGGGAGAGAGAGGGGGGAGCTCGGCCCTGGAGGTGGGGATTAAGACTAAAGAGCCCCCTGTGTCCAGCCCCTCCGAGCCCCCAAACATTCCAGCCAGGAAGGACAAGCTCCTGCGAAGGTTCCACGGGACGCTGAGCCCTCCTGGTGGCACCGAACTCCTCAACCCCAAACAGAGCCAGAGCGGGGCCAGGGAGATGGGAACACAAACAGGGGGATGGAGGAGGGGAGTGTGAGTGGAGAACGAGGAAGGTCAGGAGGGACAGCCCCCAGAAAACTTGGGGATGAGTGTTCCTTTGGGAAGAAATGCAGTGGGATTGGCTGGTGTGAGTCAGGGGATCCAGAGGGGACACGGAGATGCTCCCAGGGCTGGAGCCCCTCTGGAGCCAGGCTGGGAGAGCTGGGAATGTTCCCCTGGAGAAGGGAAGGATCCAGGGAGACCTTGGAGAACCTTGCAGGGCCTGAAGGGGCTCCAGGAGAGCTGGAGAGGGATTTGGGATGAGGGCTGGAGGGACAGCACCCAGGGA